TATCTAATTTAAACAAATTATATTAGCAAATTTCAAGCAAATTGCATGGGTGAATTATTCAAACAAGTTTAAGAAGATATGCAGGATTTGAATAAAGTTAGTGTACATGAAATGCAGCTTAAATAACTCTTAATATGGGAACATATATATCATCATCCTACTATGCATATTATTTGGATTTTTTTCTCCGATTTAAGTGGATAAACATATCATCAATTTCAATTCTATTTTTTTCCAACACAATCTGATTTTTATTTCATATTCAAAATTAGGTATTATTTTTTTACTAGTACAACACCCGTGTATTCATGTGTGCTTGTTAAAAATTATTTTTAAATTTCAAAATTAATGAGAAAACTATATTAAATTTAGTTTACTTTTTACCAAAAAAATATATTACTATATCTTTTAGAATGATATGTGTTACTTATAACTTACATGTGTTATATTATATTAATTTTTATAAATCATATTTACTTGAAATATAAATATATTAGTTGATAAATAATTTTATTTTTTTAATTAATATTAAAAATAATTTTATTATTGTTATAAAGATAAATATAAATTATTTTTTTTATACATACAATATGGATGTTAAATCGAAGTTCATCAAAAGAAGATTAATTTGATATATTACATATGTAAAACAGATAAAAAATACAAAAGTTATTAATTTTTAAAATATATATACAGTTCAATAGTTATAATAAGGAATGATATTAAAATACAATTAATACATGTAACATGATCATAAATAATCAATATTTTTTTAGATCTAACCAATTTGATGAATTACTCCTAAAGGTTCCCATGAAACTAGTGCTAGTTCCCATCAAACTAGTGCTAGTTCAAAAGTTCCTTCGGAAACAAAAAAAAAAAGTCAATTTGGGGTATTATCTCAATTCCAATAAAACGAAATCGTATCAAGTATGAGTTAGCGATCAGAACATGGTAATCCGAACCTAATTATTTTTTGTTTGGAATTAAATTAAAATTTACCCAAGCCTAATAACGAAGCATGTAATTTTGCCACATAGGATTCCGAAGCACCAGAAGCAGTCACGTAGACTCAGCGCATTCTGTATTAATATATAGGGGGATTTTATTTTATCTGTTCGAAAGATAATCAATAATATTATATTACAACAAATTAGTAGAATCCTATATATATACACCATCTTTTTATCGGCT